CGGTGAGTGTGTCAATCAAATGGATATTTATAAGGAAGGAATGATACTTCCTTGGGGTTAAAAACCTGGCTGGTCATATTTATGTTGCTGTAGAATGAGCTTCTGAAATGAATCCCGTGTTTCTTGGCAGTTGTTCTGGAGCACTGAATTATCTTCCAGCGCTTGTGCCTGAAGAGCTCTGTGTTTGTTTGGCGTTGTGATGCTAAAAATCTTATATGACCTCTGTGGCTTTGTAGGCATTGCAGTTTGCAACATCCCTTCCTCCTCAGTAGAGGAGACTGCTGACTCCACCCTCTGCCACATCTTGAACCTCTATCGCCGTGTTACTTGGCTACATCAGGCTATGCGGGAAGGGAATCGAGCCTCAAGTGTAGAGCAGATTCGAGAGGTGGCTGGAGGCGCTGTGCGTATCCGTGGGGAGACTTTGGGCATCATTGGACTAGGTAAGTGATGGGAATAGTTAGATTGAAAAGTGAGCTGTGAAAGTTTTTGGGAGCCTAAGAGTCACAGACCTGAAAAAAAGTGATAATTTTACAGCTGTTCATTGTGAAACACACTGACTCATAAGGAATGGTAGTGCCCTATTCTGTGATGCTGGATGTCTTCGAGATGGGTGTATGTCATGGGATTGGGGATTTTTTTTTTTTATTCAAATGGCTAGAAGAATTGGAATATTCAGACAGCTCTTCAGACTGTTTGCCTGTGTGCTAGGCTCTGTGTCAGTTACAAAGCCACCTGAAAGCTACCAATTCCTTCTCCAAGTTCTTGTAATCAGATTACTGCCTCTGACTCAGGGTCCAGGTTTGGTTTGAAAAACAGAGCTCCTTCTAGGCTAAGCTCTGGCTATTGCATGGGGAAGGACTAGAATTAGCCACATGGGATCAGCACTGAATAACCTCTTCTGGATCCCTATGGCAGTCCTAGGGGTTTCCAGGGCTGCAGTACCTTGGGCCCTGGCAGTAGACTCCAGTGTAGGCTCCCAGTCTACCCCAGTATCTTGTCTTTAAAGTTTGTTTTACCTTTCCTTGATGATTGTGGGTTTTCTTTTGTGAAGGCCGAGTTGGACAGGCAGTGGCTCTGCGAGCCAAGTCCTTTGGCTTCAACGTGATTTTCTATGATCCCTATCTGCCGGATGGAGTGGAGCGATCCTTGGGTTTACAACGAGTAGGAACCCTGCAGGATCTACTAATGCACAGCGATTGCATCACATTGCACTGCAGCCTGAATGAACATAACCATCACCTCATCAATGACTTCACTATTAAACAGGTGCAGCAGGAGCTTGATTTCCCCCACAGAGCACTGTGGAAATGAATGCAAACAGAAACTGCTGCTTTCACAGAGGCTGAGAGCGTGTGAATCCTGCTGCCTCTGACGTGTGCCTCCTGCTGCCTTTGGAGGCTGGGAGCGTGTGGATCCGGGTGCCTGTGCTTTGTGCTGTAGAGAATTTCATGTTAAGAGAAGAATAGGATTGGCTCTTTTTGCCAAGTAATTTAATTTATAAAGAATGTTTTAGGTGATTCAGTAATTTCAAATTACCTTTAAAATACCTAAGTGAATCTGCTGGTTAGAGCCAGATGTGGCATGGCTGGGCCTGTGAAAGTTTCTTTACACAGCTCTGTCAAAGCCTCTCTGTCCAAGCCCACTGCAAAGTCAGTCTCGGGCTCTACTCCACTAGTCTATGAATGCTTTTCACTGCTTCCATGAGAGACATCTGGACGTTGTAGTCCAGTTCTGTATAGCTGGATACTTGATTCATGTCCTTTTTCTTTTTTAATGTAGTAGGATGGAGTGCAGAACTTGAGAGTTCCACTTTTGCCCTTGTCTTGTGGTTTTGTTTGTTCATTTTTAAAGCAAATTTCTCAAGCATTGCTTGCAGGCACTTCCCCTGTGGTTAGCTTTGCAGTGAGAGCACTCCTAGTTCGTCCAGGCCTCATCTAATCACTGCAGGCTCCTGCTCATTTCCAGTAGAATTCCCAAGATTCACTTAGCTTCCATGAAAAGTCTCATTCTCAACCCACTTAATATTTTTCTTCTTCCAGATGCGCCAGGGCTGCTTCTTAGTGAACACAGCCCGGGGAGGGCTGGTAGATGAGAAAGCCTTAGCACAAGCCTTGAAAGAGGGAAGAATCAGAGGAACAGCATTGGACGTGCATGAGTCTGAGCCTTTCAGGTAATGTTACACCTGCATACCTGCTGCTGTCTTGTGCCTTGCCTGAGCTGGATAACTTTAGTTTTTTTGTTATTTGAGTTACACTGATATCCAAGAAGACAGCTGGGGTTATCACTTCTGGAGAGAAACCACTTTTTTTTTTTCCTCTCCCTCCACAGCTTTGCTCAGGGGCCCTTAAAAGATGCACCTAATGTGATCTGCACCCCTCACACTGCCTGGTACAGTGAGCAGGCTTCCATTGAATCCAGAGAAGATGCAGCTAAAGAGATCCGCAGAGCTATTACAGGTAATGAGGAAGACTGCTCTGCAGCTGCTAGTTAGTTCACTGCAAGGATTATGCTGATCGTTCTGCAAACTTAGGACTCAGTAACTGGTTTCTGGAACTGGAGTGTAAGTTGGTAATCACTTCTTTGCCTTCTGAAGATCTTGTAACTAATGCTGGAGTGGCACTTTCCCTCCCTGGGAAAGCCTTGTACCTAGTTCATCTCCCAAATCCTTTGCAATAATTCCTGACAGTTATACTGTACACTTTTTTTCTGGAGTAATACATATTGTCTCTTGGGGAAGGTGAGGCTTGGCAATTGCACTTTGCGGCCAGTAATTTCCACAAGATCACAGAAGTGGGAAGGAAGGATCAGTTTCCCTTCTTTTCCAGAGACCAGTTGTTCAGAGGAGAGTCTCCCCTGCGCAGTGTTATCCTGGGGAGGTAGATGGAAGAGTTGGGCATTTCCTTTCTACTTTCCTTTGTAAATGTTTCAGGGAAAGATCCCCTCCTACTTGTGTCCTGGTTTTGTTGTCATTCTTGGTGCTCTTGCAGGTCACATACCTGATGCTTTGAGGAACTGTGTTAATAAGGAGTACTTGCTGTTAGCAGCTCAGTGGTCCAGTATTGATCCTGCAACTGTCCACCCAGAACTCAATGGAGCTGCAGCTTACAGGTGAGATATGTAGGTTATCCAAGTTACTGCTTCCAAGCATGTCTTCCTACTGAAGTAGGCCAACATCCTTCTTTGGGTTTGAGAACTGCTTGTACCTGCAAGCAGGTTTGTTTCTGTTCTTGTATACTCTGTATGTGAGCTCTTTCCAGAACCTTAACAGCAGCACTTTGGAAGCTGTGCTAGAATTTAACATTTACTTGGTCATACTTAGTTCCAGCTGCATGCTGGTTAATTTTTCCAAATCCTTGCAAGACCTGCGCAAGAGAGATCTTGATATATAAGAAAGCTTGCTGGGTGCCTGAAAAGAGGTTTGGATCTTAACATTTAGAAGTTGTGCATATTATTAGGGCTGTATAAACAAAGCACAGTTCTTATCCGTAGCTCAGCTACGGACTATTCAGGAGACATTGTCCAACGGATTTGTGCAGGGGCACTAAATAGGGTGTATTTCAGTTTATTTGTCTGCCAACTGATCGTGGGCAGGTTGCTTCCCTTCTGTTTTTCTCCCATTTGCAAATTAGGAAATAGATTCTCTTCCCTTCTCTGAGAGATCTACAGAGGTTCAGATACATTTATGGAGAAGGCACAGGGAGGCAGAATGGCAGTAATGGAATAGTTCATGAGTATCACTCTCCTATTTTTCATCTTACATCTAGCTGTTTTATTATTTCCGTTCCTTACTTTTTCTGTCTTAGAGTCCAGGGAAGGATAACTGGCAGCTTGGACTCCTCCTGCTGATGGGAAGGGAATTTCCAGCCCTTCAGGATACCTTCAAACAGTTCCTCACACTGTTTTCCACTACAGATAAACTTTGTACCTCTTTTTCCAATGCTTAGTACGTGACCTGAGACTATCTGCCTGTCATTTGGTATTAGGATATAACTGCTGCTCTTCAGCTCTGAAGACTCCCTGTGTTCTATCTCTGTTAGAGGGATTTGTATTCAGCAGGTGCCTGAGGGCATGGCTCTTTACCCCTTGTATAACTCTGTTGGACAAGCTTGTAATTTGCATGTTTCTGTTGGTTTTAGGTTTCCTCCAGGAGTAGTGGGAGTAGCCACTCCTGGGCTACCAGACCCGCCAGTAGTGGAAGGGATTGTAGCTCATGGGATACCTCCTGTTTCTCACTCTGCACCACGTACCCCTTCCCCAGGAGAGACGAGCAAACTGGATGCAGACAGAGAGATTCCTGATGACCAATAGCAGCATCTTTCTCTCCTCTCTTCTGGCAGCAGGAAAAAGTAGGAGGGTATCTCCTCCTAGGACCTTCTTTAACATTCTACAGAGACTGTTTCCTGTTCATGCAGGACGGGAGAACGCATTTCATTACCGGCAAACTTTAGCTCTTGCCTTTATTTTGTAACCCTTTAGTTTTAATCTCTCAATGAATCTTTCTCCTTCTGTGGGGCAGGGCAGCAGTGACCTTGCCTCCCCTCAGAAATACTTGGTTTAAAGAATGAGTTCTCCCATATATCTGCCTCGGTTGTCTGTGACAGGGAACCGTCCTTGTGCACATGAAAATGTAAGTGGAGCTGCCTGATCAGGGATGGCCCTCTGTTCCTAACACCAGACTTCAGTGCACACTTTTCAGTTGTGACTTGTATCTTAAATTTAATTTGGCTGAACCTCTCTTAAGTGTAGCTGTGGGGAATATTAGAAAAATATTAGTGAATTGGAGAAGTTGTGACTATTGTCTTTATTATGCCCTTGGTAGAATGCAGCCTAGGCTCAGCTCTGTGTATTACTTCACTTGTTTTAATTAAGGTTTCCTGTGAGAACAGACATAGTGCAGGCATTGCTCATTCTTGACCACTTGACCATACAGTTTTGTCTATGCAGTACTAGGCCTGAAGTTAAAAGTAACAGTCTCAAAGCCAGCCTTGTAAATAATTTGGAAGGGATTAAAATGTCATCAAATGTGTTCTGGTGGCCACTGTGTGTGTGAGGCTTCGGAATAGCTCACACTGGAGTCTGTGTAACTCAGAGATGGCAAGAGAATGCAGACATGGGAAAAAACTTGCACTGGGAGGCAGCAAGTAGCAATAACTTGCAGCTGCAGTTGCTGGTTCCTCACACACATGTACCTCACAGTCTAATGGCAGTGTTGATCCACAAGGTATCACTCATGTTAGAATTCTAAGCTTTGTGCTACAGTTTTGTTGCTTTTTTTTTTTTTTGGCATAACTGCATCAGCTACAAGTAACATACCACTTGTCTCTGTCCTGATGGAGAAGGCAGCTTTTAACAACTGACCGAATTACTTCAGCTCTGCTAGCATATACTGCATCTCCAATAGTGGGCAGGGCAAGATAGTGGTTTCTTACATGAACAAGCTTTGTAATACTAGAGGAGAAAGAACACTTTAGCTTGTCACCTGAAGCCAAGGCAGGATTGTTGGTCTCAAGTCTTTTCCCATTTCCCAAATGACTGAATATGAATCGCTTCTTTGAGGGGTATGGAGTCTTCAGCAAAACATGTTCCACAGGAGAAGATTTTCCTTAATTCCAAATCTTCCTTTAATTTCACCTTGTTACACTTCAGTTATAGCCTTGCCATGCACAAGATGTAAAAATTCCCAATTGGTTTGTTCATGTGGTGTGGGTCTATTAAAGCAGGTGCTATTTTTGAGGCATACCCTATGTGTGGGTTTGTCTGCTTCCCTTGATTCTTCCCTCTGTTGGGTGTCTGACTGGAAGCTGAACAGCTGGGAACAAACTGGAAATACACCTTGAGGTGTGGACAGAGTGCTCTTGTTTAAGCTGTGTATGGTTTGGGAAGCTGAGGAAAGCTTTTGCAGTCACTAAGTTTTCAGATTTTTTTCCTGGTTTGAAATTTTTCTCCGATACTGCCGTCATATAATGGCTTACTACTGATACAGTGAAGTGATTAATTTCCTTTCTCTTCCAGGCCCCCAGCAATTCAAGAAAGGAAAATAGGCAAGAAGTAAACTTCAGGTGTTTTCTTACAGATTTTACACTTTAACTGTTTAGTATTAGTGAGATGATATTAGTTCTGTAGTGCTGAGTGTCTTTTTTGATAAGGTATTTGTCTCAGTGAAGGTTCTTGGCTTCTGTGTTTTCAAGGATGATGATGATTCTAATTAAAATTCATATACCTCCTTGGCTGCTCAGGTTTAGCAGATCAGACTGGGATTGGTGGTAGGCGCAAGTTACAGGAGAACTTTTTCTGAACAAAAGTCTAGAGCTCAGAAGCACTTTGCAGCTGTACCTAAAATAACCAGCAGCACTTTCCTGAGTAATCTCTAGGAAATCTAATTTTTATAAGCTACTAGCTCAGAAAGCTGTTCTTCTGACAGGCAGATGGGGAAAAGTTTTCAGGGCCTGAGGGCTCATCTTCTGTCTGATACCACACTCGGGAAGCGATCTGGCAGGAACTACTTATTCCTTACTTGCTGCTTAGAGGTTCAGGTCCGAGACTATTTTGTGGTAAGGGGCTCCTAGTTATTTGTGAATACTGAGGATCCAAGTATATTGACTTTGTCTCTTCTAGAGCACAATGCAAGATAGATTTTTTTTTTTTTTTTTTAATACTGCAAGTATCTCTATAGACCAGTGAAATAACTGAGCAGAGAAAGAATGGAAAGATTTCATTTGGGGGACACTTGAGTTTCTCAATTCTTATTTTTGGTGCCTAGGTATATTGGTGACTAGCAAGCGTAGGAATTAAATAACTGATATAATAAGTATTTCCAGTTATGGGTACTAAGGAGTTGAAGCTGCCAGCATTGATAGTGGCTCTGTTCTGTCCAACACTATGTAGGTTTGTGATTGGATATGAAGGCAATTTTCCCCTTGATTAAAGCCACTGCAGAAAACGTTGAGGTAAAAATGAGAACCCTATCATGACCTCAAAGAAGGACTCTGTGCTTACAGGATCACTCTGTTTGTATGCCATTTGTACCTCTGCTTATAGACTGAACCTATTATCTCCAGACACAGGCTGTTCTGAACAGATAGTTCGAAGAAAAATTTACCTGTACTGAAGTATCGTGTGGTCTTCTCCATCCCCTGACTGCCAGGCCCTTTGTTAGCACTCTCTCCTGCGTGATACACTGACTTGCGGCTCCTCCTCCCAGGCTTAGTGCAGCATACAGATGTGGAAGGATTTTTTTTTTTTTTTTAATACCTTCCTTCAGAACTAGCACAGAGCTTTAATCCCAAAGAACAGAAGTCTCCCAGGGTGAGGCAGGAGTGCCCTAGCTGCACTAATCTGCTTACAGGAGGTGCTCACACTGTCCCAAGGTACATTCTGTTTGTCAGGGTCACTGCTGCTGACCAGCTTTTTTATAGAGGACTCAGAGTTTCAGAAATATATTTTTGTAGACAATGACTAAACTGTGAAACATTGAAATAAAGCATGTAAACAAAAACTTACAGCACTGTCCTCTGTACAGATGTTTTTCTCACTTCAGTTCTCTCCTGACTCATTAGAAAATGTTTGATTACTTCTTGGATATATTTTAATAAAGTTCTCCAAAGAACATGGCTGCTGTCTATGGAAGGGGTGGCCTTAGATACAATATTGAAGGGGAGGGCTGAAAACCTGTACAGGTGAGTGTCTGCACCAGTCCCACTTTTTCCAAATTAAGTAAGTTGGATCTTCCACACAATCACTCCCTGGATCAGCCAGTCCGGCAAATGACTTTCTTTCGATTCTGGAGAACTGACATCAATCAAGGCTATGAAGGTAGCAGACTGGAGAAGAAGCTACTTTCAATGGTCAAGGACAGATTTGGATGTAGCCTAGTGGTTACTTATGTGACTTCTCACAAGTTGAAATTGTGGTAACTGGCTTTGCAGCCTTTTAAGTGTGTAGTTTAAATACACATGTCTACACAGCAGTAACTGTCTTCACCCTTTTACAATAAAATAGTATTTGAAATTAATACACAAAACTAGCCTATGAAACTGACTTTTCTAACACATAATAAAAGCTGGTGCAAGAGAATTGGCAAAGAAAAGTGGTTAGGTATTTCATAAATTGAAGTTAATTCGTGTTTTATGACCTATGCTCCCTGTGTTGATCATTAATGAAAGTTAGGAAACCCCTTCCTGTTATTGGATTATAGCACTACTTGTCCAGCTGGTGCTGTGCGCCTTTGGAATATCCAGGATTGTGCCCAGGAGATGGGATATGAGAAATGCTGGCCTGCTTTATCATGGCAATTTTGGTCTTGGAGCTGGTGAAATGGGAAAGGGACATAGGACCACTTGGAACCTTTCACATGGTGGTACTATTTCTCATACATAGTTAATGATCTTACTGTTTCAGTAAGACAGCCTGGTCTTCAAAGAGTGTAGTACTGATCTTGGATTTACCATGGCAACCACTTCGAGGCAAGAGATAATGGCTCTGCTACCCTTCATTAATGTTTCATGTGGGTATTGGCTCCTGTACTTCTTTTTTGGAAAAAAAAAAAGGGGGGGGGGGGGGAGTTAGTAAAGCTAGGGGCACATAATAAAACAAAACTCACAGATGCTGTACAGCAGAGGAGAATAGAGCAGAATTTTGATGCCACTAATGTTTAAGTTCTACGTACTTGTTCAAACACGACTTCCAAAGAAGACACGACTTCCAAAGAAAAAGTGTTTTGAACCATCCCTGGTTTGTAATCTGGCTTACAATCTGTTCAGTATTTTATCTGCGTGCCACATCAGGACTAAAATCACACCATAAAGAGTACAGATAATGGGATGAAATGAAGAAATAACGCTTCTGAGGACAGGTGCATTGTACAAGCTGGTATTGGGCATCACCTTACCCATTTCCCTGTAAATTGCATTGCTCTAACCATAACGTAACAAAGATGAAATATAATTATTTCAAACACCCTGGCACAATCATTTTGAATAAATGACAGCGAAAGCAAGTGACTTGCCTTCACTGCTGCTAATTCAGCATCAAATGTGACTCTCCCAGTGAGGAAACAGTACATGCACAAGAAGAAAACAACTTATTTCGCCAAAAATATCCTTGTTCTGGTATGGAGTATAGCATCTGTTTCCGATTCCAGCTTCTGACGGTGCTACTGTGCCGTTACTGTGCAAGCAGAGAGACGCAATGTTGCGCGTCATTTCTCTAACAGTGTTGGGTTCGGAAGTTCTTCGTGTTTGCTCAAGTAGGCTGAAAAGGAGCAGGTTTAGGGCACCGCGCTATTCTACCTGAGAACTGGTCAAGTGCATCAGCTAACCATCACTGCCATAATGGCTGGTACCAACCCGCTCCTAAACGCCTTTCCAAACCCCACCTCACCGAAGAGCGAGGCCCCGAGCCCCGTGGCGCGACGCTGTCACACCGCGGCCATCAGCGCTGGCTCGTCTGAAACATTCCCCGCCCCCCTCCCCGAGCCCGCGCCTCAGGCTGTGCTTGCACTGCGCCGTGTGTGCGTTTACCTCGACGTTTAGGTAAAACCGCCTTAATTTCCGTGATAACTTCAGACTT